TGGAATTGAAGCTTGACATGGTGCCGTTCGTGTTAGCGTCGATGCCAGGTTACGTATTCATGCGGGCATCTAGTGAGCCGAACTCTGCCTTTACTTCAATGCGAATGAATATGCCTTTCGCTTCGGTTCTGATGCCCATAGCCCAACTGAAAACAGTTTCGGCGGAGAGAAGATAAAAGATCTCCCAATGCGAAGCATGAGGGTCTCACATAAGCCGTGTGTGGGCGGTGTGCAATCAATACTCCTGGAGTAGACCTTCCGAGCGCTCTCGTTGCCGGGACTCGTGCTCAGGCGTGCCATGGGCGTCCATCTTCGCTGCTATGGGTTTGAAGCGCCTGTCATTGAGCCAGGGGTGCGTGGACTTGCTGGTGGTCGTCTGAAAGGTCGGGATGAAGGGTCTGGTTGTGCTCATGAACATCTCTGGACAACTCGGCACTGCAATAATGTAATCACAGCTGGCACAAACGGATGACTAACCAACAACAAATCCAATGAACTTTCTTGAGCCCAAACTGCTCCCGCTTAAAAGGGAGGAAACGAAAAACACACGTATCGATTTTCACGTGAATAATATTGTGATCGCAGATGGGGGTGAACCGTGCAGGCGACTTCCGACGTGATGTCCGAAAGGACGAGATCCAACAAGTAGTTTCCACATGTAGGTTTGCCGACCTTTTCGGAAAGACCGATGCCAGCACACACCTTGAAAAGCTCCTTCCCCTCCCTGGAATAACTACAGGAGAAACGAAGCCACGGCACGTCAACACACCTAATTAGAACTACCATCGGAACGACGTACCTGCAAATGCATGCCCCCCTGCGATGAGGGTGCCCACAGCGAAGTCCTGCTGCAATTGCCACTCACGCCGAAGAGATAAAGCAAGCTCACCCGCTCCTCGTCCTCCTGCCCCTTTTCCTCCTCCTCCTCCTCCTGAAGTGAGATCCTCCCTCCTCCACCTCCTGCTCATCCTCCTCCTCCTCCTCCTCCTCCTCCCCCTTCTCCTCCTCCTCCTCCTCCTCCTCCTCCTCCTCCTCCTCCTCCTCCCTCCACCGCCTCCTTGTCCTCCTCCTCCTCCTCCTCCTCCTCCTCCTCCTCCTCCCCTTTCCCTCTCTCGCTCCTCCTCTCCTCCCCTCCTCCTCCTCCCCAACTCCCTCCTCCTCCTATCCTCCCTCCTCCTCCTCCGCTAGCAGCCCCTAAAGGAAACTTCGGCGGCGGAGCGCGCCTCCGATTGTTTCGGGAAGCCCAGCCCGCGTCGCTCTTCCCCCCGGCAAAACCCCCCCTCCCTAACCCCCCCCCCCCCCCTCTCCGGAAAACCGAGGGGGGGTCACTACCAGTTCGACCCTCCCCCCCAGAATCCAGGGGGGTCACTACCCGTTCGTTCGAACCCCTCCCCCCCCTCTTCACCACCGCCTTCACCACTGTCCCCACGACTGTCGTCCGCAACACTGTCCCACTGTCCCCACCACTGTCCCGCTGTCCCCTCACCACTGTCCCCACCACCACCGTCCCACCACCGCCGTCTCCACCACTGTCTGCACCACTGTCCCACTGTCCCCGCACCACTGTCCCCACCACCGCCATTCCCACCACTGTGCCAATAACCCCACCATTGTCCTACTTACCCGAGGAGTGGGAACCGTCTGCCGGCGGCGAGGGGAGTGGGGTGTTCGAACCGGCAGTACCCCCCCCGGTTTTCGAGAGGGGGGGGGTGTTCGAACCGGTAGTGACCCCCCCCTTTTCATGATGGACTGGGGGGGGGGGCGGGTTCGAACCGGTAGTGACGCCCCCCCCGGTTTTCGAGGGGGGGAGGAACGGTTTGGGAACCCCCAGTGACCCCCCCCCCTTTTTCGTCAGCAGCAGTAGAACATGCTCTTTCCGATATTGGTATCCCGACCATACCATGGATCTGCATGATACGGGTCCTCACGTTATTCGGCCAGGTGGTTTGGACAAGGGGATGCGGGTGGGCGGGTCGGATGCTTGCCCTAGCATCGGAGTTGAGGACGTCAGCATGTCCAAAACCAATGTATATGTATGTGTCTACGCATACATGTATATATATACCCAAGCTACTACCAGTAAGGAGCACCAAATACGGACGAAGCCCAGTTTTGAACCCAAGCACGCCTGGGGAGAACACGAGGAGCGCGAGAGGCACAACCATGGACGCACCTATACGGAACCACGAGCCGCTTCAGAACAGGGTATGTCCCGTGCTTCGGCGTCTTGGAGGTGTATTGTTATATAGTGCGATGTGCAAATGTATACATCTAGATCTAGTATTCTACCGATCCTTGGACTCGCGCATCGCCTGCAGCTGTGCACGAAGGCTGCCAGTGCGGCCCAGGAAGTTCTCCATCCAGTACAGCATCGCCACGTTGCCCTCCTCGAAGTTGGTTTTCTGCGCCTCCTTCGAGGGGGGCGGCGGGCTTTGAGAAATCGGATCGGATCGAGGCTTGAGCGCGAGACCGGGTTGGGTCGGTACGGAGTCAGCGGTCGAATCGCATCGGCCGTGTGAGGACAGACCACGACGCCAATCCGCACCACCCTGATGGGCATGTTCTTCTATATAAGGAGCCGAACTCTATACACCGACGCTTTCTCTCTGGCCCCGCGCTGAACCTCGCACGGGAAAACGGATCCTGGTGCATACTGGTGTGTACACGTTTTTCGTCGTTTCCCCGAGAAAACGCGGAGACACAAGTATACACCACGCCACCCCGTCGTCGTCCCTGACCCTCAAGAAACATTAGATCGGGCGTCCCCCTACAGGCGGATTTTGGACGAAAAACTAACAGCACCCCCAAAATGCCAACAACATGTTCGAAAAACTGTCAAAACATCGTGCCCGGACCATTTTTCAATTGTTTGGTATGACTATGTTTGACTATTCCCCCTGTAGAGGGTCAGGCCCGACTTCAAGAACAGAAGTCCTGGGATGGCAGAACAGACAGACCGCCACTGGTAGCGGCTATGCTCCAGGCTCCGACCACCAGGGGCGGGGCCCTGGCCGACGCAGAGAGGCGCCGCTCTCCGGCCACGTCCCTGTGCATACCACCCCGCGTGGCAGCTGCGCTCGCCTGCCGCTTCCCTTAGGTTTAACTACGTCCCCAGAGACACAGCTCGCACGCGGATCGTTGCAAGTGAGTGAGTGCATTTGCGGCCCCAGAGTGGAGCTTCATAGCGTCGCCCCGCTCACTTCGGCACATCTCTCACTCGGATCGTGGCCCACAGGGATCTCCACCTACGGCCCCAGAGGCAGGGTTCGCACTGCGCCCCCCCCGGGCCATTGCGGCACACCGTATCGCGCGGATCGTGCCCACAAGGCGCACCACCGAAAGGTCCAGAGACAAGGTTCGTACAACGCCCACCAGCCCATGCCTGGGCACACCTGTCACGCGAATCATGCCCAAGAAGGAGCTCCACCTATGGCACAAATGGGCAGCTTCGCATGGAGTCCCCGCGCCCATTTCGGAACATGCCTGGCATGGGGCGTCCCTGGATAAGGTCCACCTGAAGCCTCACTGGGCCTGTTCGCGCGGCCCGTAACCCGAATCGTGCCCCACAAGGAGTTCAGCGCAACTGTGCACGCGTGTGCCCCGCGACAGCCATCTTTCCGCATTGCCCCGCGGCGCGCAGCAGTGTATGAAGAGAGACCCGCGCCCTGCACTACACATGACTGCATAAAGATGGGCCTGTCGCCAAACAAACTGCTTGCGTGTCCACGGCCTTGGGCCCGTACCGCTACTGTGCCTGAACTTTGAGCCCGAGGATTCTTGGATACATGTAATCCGGAGTCTCTTGGCATGCCTCTCGGGCGCCTCGTGGAGCGAGCTTTGAAGCTTCTTGTGCCCTCATGTGAGCCCTGTGGAGTCCCTCGGGCCTATTTTGGGACCCTTGGGGGCCTATTGACTCCCTGCTGCAGCCTCGGGGCCCACTCATGACGGAGGGCTCGAAATGTCAGTCGGAGTTCTCCATCTTGGACTCCCCTTGGGGCCGTCTCGGGCCGTCTTTTTTTTTCAACAAACCCAAAACTCAACGTTGGCACGTGGTTGGGAAAAAATCACCTCCTCGAAATCCCATGGCACAACTCCCCACTGTCGCCACAGTGCAGTCACCTACTCGAGAGACGCTCGCTGAAGCACGGCGGCCAGGAGAGCAGCCGAGCGGGCTACTGGAAGCCTTCCTCGGGAAGAAGCGCTGGAGCGAGATGGCCAAGAGCGCAGCGCGTGTGCGCCGACCTAGATATAGCTCCTGAGATGTGCCAACAGGCATTGCATGTGCGGGGTAAACGGCAGGGCCGCCGCCAAAAAAACGAACTCAAGGGCGTCGCGCCCTCAACTGCAGTAGCAGCTGGCAAGTATTACCGCGCAGCGTCTTTCGAGACGCGCCAGGCCCAATATCAGAAGCAAAACCGCCCCGAGAGGAAGAAGGAGGAGAGGCCGAGAGCGAAGGACGGGAGGGCACGAGCACGACCGCCATCCCACCACCATGCCGCCGGCGAGGACGCTGGCGAGGCGGCTGGCGACGCGGCCATCCTCGCTGCGCGAGGGCTGGGAGCAGATACTGGTAGCGCGCACAGGTGGCCTCCTCCTCCACCTCCTCCACTAGATGCGTGTCCTTTCTCCGTCCAGACAGGCAACGTGCACGGGCAAGGCGCACAAAATTCGGCCGCGATGCCCTCTACAAGCCGCCGACAGCACCCTAAGCGACCATGCCGATTGCGGAGCAAATCGAGAGGGTCAGAACCTACTGGTTGAGGCGCACGCTGGCAAACATTGGCGCACGTGCCCTCGTTATGGCGTGCGGGTTGGTCCACGCCTCTACAGCATCAGACTCGCGCGAAGAACAAATCCGGACCTCCGACGTCGTGATGTTTGACGATGCGTGGGCCCTCTAGCTCCCGACCCCTTCTCCAGGGCCGGCGCAACGTCGGTGGCCGTGCCTCGATGGCAAGAGACCTCCAGAAGTCGCGCGCCCCCCCCAATGCCCGGTAGTGACCCCCCCCCCGGTTTTCTGCCAGCAGCGCGAGGGCGCATAGACCCACGCGCGAGGCATGTGGCAACCTTGAAGCACTTGGGGTTGCCGCCTCTGGCGGTGACATTAAATTGCCGCGCGACGGCATCGTCCCGGTATCATACACTGTCTGTATAACTCGCACCTTTCGGAAATCATGTCGTGTGCGACCACGCGTCCTGGGGAGTTGCATGCATCCTAGGGTATTGTTGCCGTCCTCTCTACGCTCAGGTCACACAAGCTCGAACAGCAAAGGTTCGAGGCGAGGGGCCCAACTCAGGAAAATATGACATACCCTAACTCAAAATCGCCCCTGGGAGGCTCACAGCTCCCAGGGTCTGGGCCCATGTTGTCCAGAGTGAATAATTACTCGAACAAAGATGTATCTTCATTTCCATCCCACCCCATCCCTTGTAATAAAACACCTCAAAAAACCTTCGGCCGATCTAGAGCAGAACTCAAACATACCGCAAGCTCTCCACACTGGGAGAATATCATTAGGACAATATGCTCGTCGCAGGCGTGCGAAGCCGCAAGGCTTCGTTCCCTTGTTGAGGCTGGCGACCTAGGGTGGTCTTGGCCAGCCTGGGCGACCGCTGCTTCACTAGACGAGCATCCAGATAGCGTTCGTGGCGCTGACTATGCCCCTCTCCGCGAGCTTCGCCACGTGGCCGTAGTACGTGTACCAATGCCGCTCGCCGATCGTCAGCTGATAGCTTCCCACGTACGCCTCCAAGGATCCGCTGCAGAAGATGACGCGCACCAAGCTAATGAGCAACATCTGCTCAAGGGTGATATACGACATCTGGAACATGTTCCAGAAGAAGATCTTGATCTTCGTGTCATCCAAGGAATCCTTCGTGTCATCCTTCGTGTCATCCTCGAGGGCGTTTTCGCTGACCGGCACGTCAGAGAAGTCTTTCTCCAACTCCGTGCGGTTCAGGTTGATGAGCCTGATTCTGTCCTCCTGGTCTGCAAGGGGCTGCTCCATCAACCCGGCGCTCCCGCTGGCGACGGTGTCTTGAGCCTGAGTCGCTGCGGGCGTTCTGTCCTCCTCGTCTGCAAGGGGCTGCTCCATCAACCCGGCGCTCCCGCTGGCGACGGTGTCTTGAGCCTGAGTCGCTGCGGGCGTGAGGATGTCTCCAAGACCTTTCCGCATTTGTTCCCACGTCATTCGGTTCACGAATCCGTAGAAGACGCTGAACACAATGGGGGCAACGATGGTGGCCCAGCTCTGCATCAGGAAGAAGTAGAAGAAGGGTGCGATCAGTGACCACCAATACCCGTAGGACTCCTTGGCCCAAGCCCACAGGCCGAAGGACACGATGCAACCGATGAGCGAACAGCAGCAGTTGCAGCTCACAGTACAAAGGTGAAGACACATTGCCCACTTTGTGGAGCAAAGCCAAACGAGGTAGGCCAACTTCAGAGCGACCTTGAAAAACACATTTCTGAAGATCAGGTAGGGCGACAGGAGGAGGAAATAGAGATGCTTCTCGCACCGGAACCACTTCGCGCCACCTGGCATCAGGGGAAGTCCTCCAAGGGAGGACCCAGGTCTCATAGGGAAGCATCTGTACCTCACCTCTGTCAATCCCAGCAACCTGACCGGATTTTCGTAGGTCACTTGGGAAACCAACGCCCTGGCAGCAACGTAGTTGGCCGATGTTGCCACGATGATTGCCAGACAGCACATCCTCTTGAAGAAGCCGTCCATGTCCTTCGTGGCCTGGGTGTACAACTGGAAGTCGTGTTGGAAGCCGTTGCAGGCCATGGCGAAGAAGCCCAACTGACACATGAACTTCACGACCTCCTTCATGTTCTTCACGATGTCGTAAGAGCCAACCGTCTGGAGGAAGCCGTGCGTTGTCCTCGTCGCGCAGAAGCCGTCCCTTTTCAGCATTGCTGCGACGACATCTTTCTTGAAGCGGATGCTGAACCCGAAGATGCTCATGGTCAGTGTGATCTTGATGCCGAAGAAGATCGGCATCAGGTAGTACGCTGCAACTCCTGCGGCCTCAGCGCTGCACTCACGAAGTCCTCCTCGAGGTGCCCGCCGCTCTTGTCATAGACAACCGTCTCGTCGTCGTCGTCCTTGCCGCCTTCGCCGCTCGCAGTCTTGGCCTTGAACTCCGCGCTGTGATGGTCGTCGTCGTCCGTTCCGCCTTCGCCGCTCGCAGTCTTGGTCGTGCTCTCGGCGTTGTGGTGGTCTTCGCCGTGCGCTTCCGTATCCCCGTGGCCATCCGTGCTCCTCAAGGCCCGGGTCAGGCCGCCCGGCGGCGCCGCCGCGACGCGCCTCGCGTCGCGGGCCACATGATCCAAGGCCGCCGGCCCTGCGAGAGCCGGCGTCGCGGCGGCGGCCTTCAGCGTCATGGCGCCGTCCAGGGCGTGGACGGCGCCGCTCCCGCGAGCAGGTCCCGCCGCCCCGGCGGCAGGGGCGCGCGCGGCTAGCGCCACGGTCATCAACAGCACGGCGGCAACCGAGGCGGCGGACAGTCTCAGCACCGAGCGGCGCTGCTGGCGGCGGGGCCTGGGCACGAGCGGCGATGCCTCGGGGTCGCGGCTGGAGTCCGCCGTCTCCTCGCTCGCCATGGCGTCGAAGGGAGGCTGCAGCAGCAAGCAGCTGCTCCCTTGAGCCAAAATGGCTAGCTATGCCGGGCCTGTCCTCCTACAAGGGGGATTTTCAACGAACCCCAAAAAAACCGTAGAAATAATCAACAAATAATCCAAAATAGTCCAGGGACTTTTTTTTGTATTTTTGGACCTTTGGAGGGTATTTTGGGGGTTTTCCATTTTTCGTCGAAAATCCCCATGTAGGGGGACACGCCCGACATAACCTGAGGTCGGGCATGTTCTCCCACAGGCGGCCGCTGAAGAGAAGCGGCACGGAATCGAAAAATGCTCCACAACCACCGGAAGATGACAGGACCATCGTCCCCAGACCTCGGGGATGGACAGACCTCTCTTTACCAGAACGTGGTTCCGTGAAGACGACCCCAGGCCCAAACCTGGCGGGCGCAGGCCTGGAAAATGACGGCCGCGGCGCCCTCTCGAGAACCGAAAACGGACAGTGCACGAATCGACGTGTCAGAAGAGGAGGCCTGTCCACCCCCAGCAGGCTACTTTTGACTCTGAGTCGTCCCCGAGGAGGAGGAGGAGGAGGAGGAGGAGGAGGAGGAGGAGGAGGACATGCCCGACCGAATGCTCTCCCACGCCGCTCTCCCACGCTTCTGCACCCCCCTCGCGCGCCGCCGCAGGTGCTCTCCCTGCCGGGTGCCTCTCCCGGCGGCGCTGGAGAAACCTCCCTTCAGCAAACCTCCCCCTGGAGAAACCCTCTTAGAAGGCTCCAAAGGCTTCTGGCCTTCCGAGAATTGTTCTAAGGCTTCCCCGAAGACGCGAAACAGTCTCGGAAGGCTGCAGTGCTTCTGGGCTCCTGAGACGTCCAGCCACATTCTGAGAAGACCTGCTCCCTCTCACTTCCCCCTGGCCTCGCCGCCGATTATCATCGGCGGCGGACAAATCTCCCTATAGTAAACCTCCCCTTAGTGAAAACAACCTAGGACCGAGACCGACGGACCTGGACCCGCAGAAACGACGGCCGCGACGCCCTCACGCGAACCGAACACGGCCCATTCCTGAGTCGACGTGTCAGGGTGGGAGGTCTATCCACAGCCGATTCTGGCGGCGCTGAGCACTGCAAGCGTCGGGCCGCACCGGAGGGCTGGAAGACCGAACGCATGAACATCGGTCGGAAGAAGCAGGTGAAAAGCATGGAGTAGGGAGGCGGCTTAAGCAGATCGGGCCCACGCCCTCGCAGAGAGAAGAGCAAAACACAGCAAACGCAGATCGACTCTTGAAGTGGGAAGGCGCTCAAAGAAGTAGGTTCGGATCTGGGAATCCAGAAGTACCTACTTTCAACGACGGGCGTGTAAATTCTCGGGCGTCTGCGGACGGCTTCTCCGCCGGGCGGCCCATTCCCCCGGCACCGCCACCTCCGAGCGTCGCTCCCAAGCGCGCGTCCTGCGCCAGAACAGGGTTGTGGGGAAAAAAGGCCTGGCGCCGGCGGAGACATCGTCCGGAGCCTAGTCTTAGATGCGTTGTGCTCTCCCATCTCCTTGAGGGCCGCGATCTTGGACTCCACCTCCTTTAGGCGGCGAGCGAGGGGGGGAAGTGAGAAGGCGAGGGCCTTCTCAGAAGGTCCAGAAGTCCCCCGGCCTTCTGAGACGTTTTCTAAGCCTTCCCCGAAGTCAGAAAAAAAAAAACACTTCTCAGAAGGCGCGAGTGCTTCTGAGAAGTCCCGCCGCCTTCTGAGAAGGCAGACTCTTTCTCACTTCCTCCCCTCGCTCGCCGCTGATCCTTCTCGTCGTCCGCCAGCTTCGCGTCGAGCTTCAGCATCGCCTCCACGGAGCAGCCGTCGTCCAGGCAGTCCTTGATTTAGGTAGGGCATGTCTTCATACAGGCGGATGATATATCAAAGTATGAAAATCGTCCCCATATAATGTTTAAAACTATTTTGGAAATTCCCCGTAGAGGGACATGCCCGACTTAATCCTTGATCGCGGTGACGCAGCCCTCGTCGCACTCGAGCACCGGCTGCGGGGGCGGCGCCACGTCCGCGTCGAGGTCAACGCCCAAGTTGACCTTTGAAGGGACTCAGGGACACACAAATAAATAGACACACATCCCAAGATTCCCCATGTTTTCCCGGCACTTTCTGGGTTTTCGTCTTCCCATATTTTCCTATATTTTCTGGGGGAGTCCACGATTCATCGTGTCTGTGTGCTTCTTCCCCTCACGAACCTTGCCCGAGTCGTACGCGGCGCGCGCAGCCTTCGTCGCGCGTGCCCTCATCGGAGCGGCGGCGAAGCCGACCCCGACCCAGGCGCGCAGCGCGGCCACGCCCGCGAGCGCGAGGCACGCGCCGCTCAGCGTGGCAGATGCGCGCCGCCCCTGCGCCATGCTCGCGAGGGGGGCACGCTAGAGGGGACCGGCTCAGGGGAGTGGGCGATACATCGCGAATGGTCGGCGATAGAGTCAAGTCGCAGAACAATTTGGTTCGCCTGAAAACTGCCCAGGGCGTTGTGTTAGCGTGTTCAGCTCGACGTCTTGGACATCATGTTTTAAGCGTTTTCAGGTCTGGACCAAAGATTACAAACGCTGAAACTATGATGCGTTGTTTTAGCGTTGTCAAACATGATTTAGGCGTTTCCAGCCTGCAAACGCAAACACAACGCCAACAACAACTCAAAACAAACTGCCCTCATAACGCTAGAAAGCGTAGCGCATTTTTTAAACAACAAAGAACCCTTTCAGCTTGTCAAGAGCCCGAAGTGGAGAACGCCAGAAAAACGCCCAGGGCGCTTTTCAAGGCGAACCAAGCATAACAAGGATGCGCGGTAAGGACGCAAGGGCCATTGAGGGCCACGTTTGCAGACGTTGTCGAACGGGGCTGGCCAGCGAACGTCGCCAGGGATGGGCCGAAGAGGCAAGGCTGCAAGGGTAGCCGTGGACTGTACATCGCGGACGGATTGGTGGTAAGCCCTCGACAGCCAATCCGCACGCTCCAGGGCGGGGTGGGCTATCAGGCCCCTGTCGACGATGAGTCGGCGATTGGGGGCACATGCGACCCCTCCTGAGCCTATATCCCCCCCCTAACGTTGCCCCTGACTCCGTTCGAAGCTGGCAGCGGAATGGGACTTCACAACTTGCGGGTCGAGCGCCCCTGAACAGAAAAGGCTCCGAGCAACCGCCCATAGCCACGACTGGCTCGGGCGAGGTGGAGGACATGGAATGGCGGTGCGCCAATCACGACGCATACCGGCTACAACGCCCAAGTTCTGGTCTGAGAGAGGGTGAGCACAAAGTTGACAAGAGTGAGCTGCGAAACATAAAGCAAAGACGCTGAGACGCACCTGTAGAATGCGCAATGCTGCCGAGATGTTGTGCCCGATGACGAAATATTGGAAGCGCATGATGCCGTACCCGTGTTACCCCCAGACAGTGTTTGCACTGAAGACGGTTGTGTTGTCACACCTACTGGTGCAATCTCGCACCGCATTATTCCGACCGTCCGACGGACCAACCGTTCAGGCCATTCCCCCCCGTTCCCCCCTTCCCCCAGCGCACCCCCTGGAGAATCATTCCGACCGTCTGGCCGCGACCGACCGTCCGGCCCACCCCCCCCTTCTCCCAGCGATCCCACCCCCTTGGTGTCATGGAGGTTTCCTAGAGACCGTCCTGGAGGGCGTTGTGGAGGGCGTTGTGCACGTATCTTGGAAAGTGTCCTGGCGGGTGTCCCGGATGTGTCCTGGAGGGCGCCCTGGATTCCTATCAGTCCTCTGGGCGTAGGTGGTTTAACGAGATTTGTCTTCTCTCTGCCAATGTCCCTCCTTCCCCTGCCACTGCTCCCTTTTACTATACAGCCCCCTCCCCAAGGCGACTGGCAGCCAACCAGGAACAATGCTGACCCTATGCTCACACACACACACACCCAACCATCTCTGACAAAAAGCAATACACAACATACCCTGCCTCCAAATTCGGAACATGCGCAATCAACCCAATACAGGCCTCCCACCATCCCTGTCAAAAAAGCTCTTCACAGTACACTTTGGGGCACAGTCTTGAATCATGTTCGTAAGGCCCGCGATCACTTTGCATTCTCTTTATACATGGGACGGCGGGGGTGTCAGCATATTGCCTGCCGTGTGCAGGGCCACCACCTCTCTCAAAAACTACAACATGCACCTCGCGGCTAAATCTGAATCATGCGCGGTCACCCCGCGATCACTGCCAAATGGGTTTTGACAGAGACAGCGGGGGTGGTGGCGTATGACCTGCTGTGCGCGGGCCCACCAGACACGATGATGGGCATTGGTTTTCGACAAGGATGGTGGAGGTCGCATGCTTCTCGACATGTGCTGTTACGTCAACAGGCGCACCTGACGCACTCTGCACGTGCCCCGAACGTGGCCAACCTGGCGCGGCCGGAGTGTGCGGCACACCTGGCGCAGGTGGAGCACGTGGCGCATCTGGCGCACCAGGCGTGCCCGGCACGCTCGGGCCCCAGGGGTGCCTCGCGTCCGTGGCGCCCCTGGCACGCGTGGCGCACCTCGCCCCAGCCTCGCACACATGGGCTCCGCTTTGATTCCCAGTAGCTGTCCATCCAAGGACGGCCGCTGAACACGCTGAGGCTCGGGTGTTACGTATGTGTTGGGAGGGCGGGTGGGAGTAAGCTCGACGGCTGACGGATGGGTGGGTGTCTTGACCCCTCCCCCTGCCCCCTCCCCTGGGCCTGGGAAGGGGGGGGGACCGAGGCGTTAGAGCTCCCAAGATCGTCCAAGATGGCTCCAGCAGGGCTTCAGGAACCCCAAGATGGCCTCCAAGATGGCTCAAGATAACTCAAAACGGCTCGAGATAGCCGCTGACGCACATTCAAGAGGCCTCAAGACGGCCCCGAGGTGGCTTCAAGTGCCCCCCGAGTCCTCCAAGGACCCCCCCAAGAGGCCATGGCGGGTCCCAAACCGATGGAACATTCATGATGTTTGCCTTCTCGCCTTGTCGCTTCCGATGGGCCTCGGATGCCCCCAAATGGCCCCCAGTTGGCCCAAGGGAGCCCCACGAGGGACCCAAGAGAGCTCCAAGACGGCCCCAAGAGCGCCCAAGAGCGCTCCAAGAACGGCTCCGGAGGGCCTGAAG